ATGTAGCTGTAGCAAAGAGACTTATAAGGAAAGTTGCTTAAAGAACAAAAAACTGTATTTCCCACTCACATCACAGTTCTAATGTGGGTTGTCCAGGTTGGCAGAGCAGCTATTGTCCATATGGACATTCAAGGATCTGAATCCTTTCCTCATACAGCTCCTCCACTCTCTCTTAGAGATTGTGCCATCATCTACATGGTCAAAACTGGGTCACCATGAGTTCTAGCCAGTGCAAAAGGAGAAGAGAACATGGAAGAGAGAAGAGAATAGAACATGTACCAGCCTGGCTTCCAACAGAAAAGCAGAACCAGTAGGATAGATATATATATTGACATGGGCTCCGTGTCCCCACCCAAATCTCATGTTGAGTTGTAATCCCCAGTGTTGAGGACCCTTCCTGATGGGAGGTGACTGGATCCATGGGGAAATATTTCTCCTTGCTATTTTCAGGATAGTGAGTTCTCAAGAGACCTGGTTGTTTAAAAGTGTGTCGCACTTCCCCTTTCACTGTCTCTCCCCTGCCACCATGTGAAGACATGCTTGCCTCTCCCTCACCCTTCTACCATGATTGTAACTATCCTTAGGCCTCCCCAGCCATATCACCTGTACAGCCTGTGGAACTGTGAGGCAATTAAACCTCTTTTCTTCATAAATTACCCAGTCTCAGGTAGTTCTTTATAGCAATGTGAGAACAGGCTAATACAGGAAATTGTTACCAAGAAAGTGGGCCATTGCTATAAAGATACCTGAAAATGTAAAAGCAACTTTGGAACTGGGTAATGGGCAGAGCTTGGAACAGTTTGGAAGGCTCAAAAGAAGACAGGAAGATGTGGGAAAGTTTGGAACTCCTAGAGACTTTTAAAATGGTTTTCACCAAAATGCTGATAGTGATATGGACAGTGAAGTCCAGACTGTTGAGGTCTCAGATGGAGATGAGGAACATATTGGAAACTGGAGCAAAGGTCACTCTTGCTACACAATAACAACGAGACTGGCAGCATTATACCTCTGCCCTAGAGTTCTGTGGAACTTAGAACTTGAGAGAGAGGATTTAGAGTGTCAGGTGGAAAAAGTTTCTAAGTAGCAAAGTGATCAAGATATAGCCTGTCTACTTTTAACAGCATATGCTCATATGTATTCAAAAAGAGATGGTCTGAAATTGGAACTTATAATAAAAAGAAGCGGACCATAAAAGTTTGGAAAATTTGCAGCCTGACCATTTGGTAGAAAAGAAAAACTCATTTTCTGGGAAGGAATTCCAGCTGGCTGCAGAAATTTGCATAAGAGGAGCCAAATGTTAATAGCCAAGATAATGGGGAAAATGATTCCAGGGTATTTCAGATATCTTCTCAGCAGCCCCTCCCATCACAGGGCTGGAAACCTAGGAGGGAAAAATGGTCTGTGGACTGGGCCCAGGGCCCTGCTGCTTTGTGCAGCCTCAGGACATGCCTTCCTGTATCTTAACTGCTCCAGCAAAAGCAGTGGCTAAAGAGGGCCGAGGTACAGCTCAGGCTCTTCCACAGGGTGCAAGCCCCAAACCCTGGCATCTTCCACATGGTGTTGGGCCTGCAGGTACACAGAAGGTGAGAGCTGAGCTTTGGGAGCCTCTGTCTAGAGGATGTGTGTTCATTTCAGAAGATGTATGGAAACAAATGGATGGCCAGGTGAAAGTCTGCTGCAGGGGCAGAGCTCACATAGAGAACCTCTACTAGGACAGTGTGGAGGGGAATGTGGAGTCGGAGTCCCCCACACAGAGTCCCCACTGGGGCACTGCCTAGTGGAGTTTTAATTAGAGGGCCACTGTCCTCCAGACCCTAGAATGGTAGATCCACTGACAGGTTGCACTGTGCATGCAAAGAAACTTTACGCACTCAATGCCAGCCCATGAAAGAAGCTGTGGGGGCTGTACCCCACAGAGCCACAGGGGAAGAGCTACTCAAGGCCATAGGAACTGATGTGCCATGGGTGTGACACATGGAGTCAAAGGAGATTATTTTGGAGCTTTAAGATTTAATGACCATTCTGCTAGGTTTGGGGCTTACATGGGACCTTTAGCCACTTTGTTTTGGCCAATATCTCCCTTTTAGAACGGGAACATTTACCCAATACCTGTACCCCATTGTATCTTGGAAGTAACTAACTTGTTTTTGATTTTACAGGCTCACAGGTGGAAGGGACCTGCCTTATCTCAGATGAGACTTTGGACTTGGACTTTTGAGTAAATGCTGGAATTAGTTGAGACTTTGGGGGACTTTGAGGAAGGTGGGGTTGGTTTGGTAATGTGAGAAGGACATGAGATTTGAGAGAGGCCGGGTGAAATAATATGATTTGGCTCTGTGTTGGCATCAAAATCTGATGTTGAATTGTAATCCACAGTGTTGGGGGAGAGTCCTTGTGGGAGGTGGTTGGATCATGGGGGTGAATTTCTCCTTTGCTGTTCTTATGATATTGAGTGATTTCTCCTGAGATCTGATTGTTTAAAAGTGTGTAGTACTTCCCCCTTCATTCTCTCTCTCCTGCCACCGTGTGAAGATGTGCTTGCTTCCCTGTCACCCTTCCGCCATGATTGTAAGTTTTCTGAGGCCTCCCCCAGTCATGCTTCCTATACAGCCTGTAGAACTGTGAGTCAATTAAACTTCTTTTCTTTATAAATTACTCAGTCTCAGGTAGTTCTTTATAGCAGTGTAAGAGCAGACTAATACATATATCAAGAGATTTATTTCAAAGAATTGGCTTGGATGATTTTGGGTAGGAATCCAAGGAATATTGGCTAGAAAAATCTCAAATCTGTAGAGCAAGCCCCTCAGGAAGGGCAGGCTGCAAACTCTATGACAGAAATTAATGTTCACAGATAGAATTTCCTCCTCCTCAAGGAAATCTCACTTCTGCTCTTAAGCACTTTCAACTGACTGGATTGGTCCCAGTTGAAGGATACCATCTTTTATGCAAAGGCAACTCAGTTATCAATCACAGCTATAGAAGTTATCTTTAAAATATCTTCACAGGCTGGATGTGATGGTTCTTACTTGTAACCCCAACACATTGTGAGGCCAAGGCAGGAGAACTGCTTGGCCGAAAAATTCCATACCAGCCTGGGCAACACAGTGAGACTCTGCCTCTATTTTAAATAAATAAATAACCTTCACAGCAATACCTCAATTCTCATTTTATTGAATAACTGGGGACTGTAGCCTAGCCAAGTTAGCACATAGAACTGACTGTCACAGAGGAGAAGGGAACATGGAGGAATGCATAGAGGAGAAGAACACCTAGAGACGAATCACCCACTGAGTTCAGGCCCAGATGAAGGAGGCACCTTGACTTGCACTCACATTCCATTGTGAGATCTTAGTCATGTGGATGCACCTACCTGCAAGGAGGGCTAGGAAATGTAGTCCATCCATGTGCTCAGTATAAAAGCAAAAACAGTTTTAGTGGACAGCTAAGTGAACACTATGGCTTATGAGAAAGTGGGTCTTTTTGAGAAAGTGGCTCTCAGTTCTTTAGTTGCACATGTTTGGTCTTCATGCTACAGAACTGAGAATGGACTTTTTCCAAATAAAGTCCAACTAATACCTAAAAACCTGAAATCATTGCTGATACATAATGGCCTACGTATGCAATGGAACATACAAGGCTGCCTCCTCAGCATTGCTTGTTCAGCTGCTGTTTTTTCCAACAAAGGTATGAGCTTTGGTCAAACTTCAGTAATTATTTGTGCAAATTTTCATCATATAACCCTGATAAATGTACTGAGTCCATATTATATCATTGACATTCTACTACCTATTTTATAATAAACAATTGAGAAATACTAGTTCTAGCAATTCACCAAGAAAGAATGATAAACACTGAAATATTTTGGCTGACTAAACAAGAGAGATTTGATCATGTAAAAGCAAGCTTCTTGACTTTGAAACATGTGAAAGAGTGTAAGATAACCCTGGGACTGGAAACATGTTTCACTTCTTTTAGCAGCTCTATTTCATTTTCACTCATTCACTCTTTTTTTGAATCTATAGACAAGACTCCAAAACAACCTTTCTGCTGGCACCCTTCCATTCATTTTCTCCTCATTGTCAGTCTTCCTAAAATCTAATTACTAAGCAAGGAAGAAAGAAATAGAAGGAGACAGCCTGGAACTTCACTGAGTTTGGCTTCCTTCCAGCTCTGATTTTTCCACATGCATTCCCAACACTGCTAAAGAGGCTTAAGTGACTTCCATGTTGGTAAGATAGCATTATCACTATACTACCATCACTCCAGGGTCCCTAAAACATTATGTGTGGCTATGTATTGTAGTTACTATTTTAATATGTCTCACTTTCAAATGAGGTGAAAGGTAGTGAGGAATCCAGTTAAGACATGGTGCCTGTTCTCCAGAAATTTACCGGTTAGGGACATGATAGATATGCACAGAACAAAATTAGAGCCCATCCCTTACTAGAAGAATCTTTGGGTTTTTATGAACTTTCTCCCTTCTTCCTCTCCAGGTTTTGTTTCCAGATTTTTCCGAAAGCATTACTGAAGCCAGCTGGGAAGAAGAGAAGTTCAGATGAGATGGGGATAAGAAGTAGTTAATAAAACTTTGTTATCTATTCTGGAAAAAATAAACAGCTAATGCCATCATTCTGAACTATTACAGTGAATTCCACATAGACACTGGAAATGTAAGCTTTCATGAATTGCTTGCCTTTGAGTCAGGTACTGTGTTAAGGATAATTATGTTTAGGACTAGATTTACTTCTCCATAAAGCTAATTCTATGAGGTAAATATAATTAGTCCCAATTTTCAAATAAGAAAATCAGTGTTTAGAGAGATTAATTTGCCCAAAATCAAATTGTAAACATGTGGCAAAGATGTTACCTTATGTGTGTTTTTTCTGCTGCACATAAATGCAAAAGGATCTGAGTTAAAAGAAATTGTCTCTGGCAGTGTCTTAGTGCAAGCTGCTAGTTTTAAAATGTTGTTTAAGCCTGGGAGACTTAAATAACAGAAATGTATTTCTCAGCTCTAGAGGCTGGAAGTCCAAGATGAAGATGCCAGTAGATCCAGTGTTTGGTAAGGACCAGCTTCTTGGTTTGTAGATATCTATCTTTTCATCACATTCTCACATGGCAGAGAACAGAAGGCAGAAAGCAGAGAGCAGAGAGAGGTGCTACCTCCTGTATTTTTATAAGGGTATTAATCATTTATGAGGGCTCCACCCTCATGACCTAATCACTTCTAAAGGCCCTACTGCCTAATACCATCATATTGGGGATTTGAATTTCAACATATGAATTTTAGGGGTAACACAAACATTCAGCCTATAGCAGGTACATTTAAAAATAATTATTTCCACTCATTAAAAATATGAAAAATAAAAATGTTAATTATTAAAGATTTTAATGTGTATGAGACTGACTGCAGAATCTATTTTCAAAAGATCACGGAACTACTTGAATAAACTGAGTGAAAGTTTAGAGAGTAAAAATGGTGGAAGGACAAAGAAGAGAGGAGGAGGAAAGAGAACCTTTTTTATCCTTTGGCTGCTAAAAAGCTTGCCTGAAGTTAGCCTTAACTAGATTTAGAATTAAATTCCAACACGTACTCAAAGTTAGTGGGTCTTAAATTACAATGGTATTAGGTTTATTCACAAGCTAAAGATAATAAAATTTTATTTGTATATATTTTTATTCCCTCATTAAATAGGCCTTTTAAACTATCATTACAAAATAATATAATTACCACTTTTTAAATGAAATGACCTCAATCTATATTCTACTTGCCCTTCAGGACACCAAGTCCTTAGCTCACATAGTATTTTCACCCACAAAGACAACTCTCAAAGCACCAAACTGTTTCTGCCTCTATTAGCATACTTTTTACATTATACTAAAATTCTTTCTATGTATTTATAAATGACATCTAATATGGTACCTGCATAGATGACAGTGGATGAATGAAAGAGGGGGAGAGAGAGAGAAATGAAAGAAAAAAAGAGAGAATGAATACTCAAAGAAGGATTTTTGTCCATGATCTACTCACACTCATGGAAAAGAACATCAGCATTGCCACCCTTGCTAGCATTCACTGAGCACTTACTATGTGTCGGGCCCTACTCTGTAAATAGTTACCATCATCCTTCTCATTATTACCTATGAGCACACATTATTTCTCTGAGAGAAACAGATTATGCAATAAGACCAAAGTCACAGTTAGAATGATGAAAGTCGTTATTTAAACCTTAGCAACCTGAGTCTAGATCCCATACTCATATCCAGGACTTTCTACCACCTTCCAAATAAACAGGTAATTACAGTGTTCCATGCCCAAAGAGAACTGTGTTCCAAATGCCAAAGGAACAGAGGGGGCATACTCTGTGCAGGGGAGAAAGAAGACAGGCCCAGGCAGAGACGAGTTTACCCCAAATAATAGAGACCTGAAAGCCTGTGGCAAATTTCATGTGTGAAGAAGCTGGTACGGGGTGGAGTGGGGGAGCAGGGCTGGAGACTCTAAATGTGGGCTGGGAACTGATTGTAAAATATATGTTCATCTCATTTTCATTCAACATTTCACAATCAACTATTTACAGAACACCTACTACGGGCCAGCAAACAGCTATGAATAAAGCAGACAGAAACTTTATGGGGCTTACATCCTGTGGGGAAGGTGACAGATAATAAATGTATATATTGCGGCACATGGTGATGAAACAGGAAAAGTTTTCCCTTATCCCCCTCACAGGGCATGCGCTAGGGGTGCGGCTCACTTCTTCTGTGTCCCACTGCTCAAACCCCTAGGTGGAACATGCAGAGGGGAAAGTCATGGGGTTCTGACCCCACAGTGCATCTAGGGTGGATTGTTTACAGCTCCCGAAGCTACGGTGGGTGAGTGTTACAGTGTGCTGTTTCCATTTTGACATCTGCAGGTGGCTTGTGTTAATTAGCTCAATTAGACCTTCTGCCTTATCACAAGGGCAGAAGGCTTTCTGTATCTTGGGGTTCTTGCCCTGTGTACTGGAAAAATCAGATCACATGTGGGCTTGGAGGATGGGTGCAAGGTTTTACTGAGTGAAGGCAGCTCTCAGAGAGGTAGATGAGGAGGCCAGAGGGGTATGGAGTGGGAAGGTGGTCTTCCCCTGAAGTTGGGCCACCCAGAGGCTGGACTCTCCTCCAACCGAATTCCCCTGGGTGTCTGCATCATGCTTCTGTTGATGGCCTGCTGGCATTTGCCAGTGTTTTCTTCTGCTAGTGTATCCCTCTTGACGTCCAGCCACTTATGTGTATGCCCACTAGCATCTTGGGGTTTTTATGGGCACAGAATGCAGGGGTGTGGTGGGCCAGAGTGGTCTTGGAAAATGCAACATTTGGGTGTGAAAGCAGGAGTGCCTGTCCTCACTTAGGTCCAGTCCGTGGGCACAGGCCTGAGGGTGGGCCCTCACCAGGGACCCTGCCCTTCTCTACCCAGTACTGCCCTGCCCCCTCCTATATCAGTGGTAAGTGCTAAGGATGAAAATCAACCAATATAAGGAGACACAGAGTGAGGAGTGGGTGCTCTTTGAGATACGGTCGTGTCTGATAAAACATTTGCCCAGAGAATGCAAATAAAGGAAGGCTTTGTTTTATGAGCAGGGACAGTTCATGCAGGAGTTTAAACAGGGATGTGATTTGATAAGATTTCCTTTTCTGGAAGCCACCTCTTGCTAATGGCTTGGGGTGGTGACAGGGAGTTGAGGTTGAGGAGAGGCAGAGGACCACTGAGAAAACAATTGTGAACTATTATAATAATAATGGGAAATTATGAAAGACTAGACCATGGTGGCAACATGTGTGTGGTTTTTAAATAACAATAAGCTTCTAGTAGAACCTAGAACACTGAGGACGTCTTTTTTCAGTAACTTGGACCAGAGACAACTGTAAATGTGCTAAAAGCCAGAAGATGTTGGGGAAGCTGGCAAAGAGAAAACCTGAGAGTTATTTATTGCTCAGCCTGCAGCATTCATGAGTGACTAAAGGGAGTATGTGGACCTTTTTCTCACTTCCAAAAGCAAGTGCTACCAGGAAGGAAGAAGAAAACCTTGAAGTTATCCCAGCTTACGACAATGGTATCATCCAGTATGTTTATTGTCAAGGATGACAATAGGAGTTAAAACATTCTGATAGCTCCTAACTCTTTCTCACTCACACAGCCATTAACCACCCCATGGTCAGTCCCCCACCAGCATGTGTGCCCACCACAAAGGGCACTGGCACTCGACATAGATGCAGTGAGGGTAGGTACTGCCATACAGCAGAGAAAGGTGAGGGCTGGCAGCCTGGCAATGGAGAAGAGGGAAGAGGTCACGGTGGTATGCAGACAGGAGGGAGGGCCTAGGCTGTGCCTGAGCTAGCTTTATTGGACCTACGATTAGAAAACTAAAAGAACTGAAAGTCAGCCAAGCACTGTGGCTCATGTCTGTTATCCTAGCGCTTTCAGAGGCTGAGATGAGAGGACCACTTCGGGCCAGGAGTTCAAGATCAGCCTGGGCAACACAGCAAAACCCCATCTCCTCAAACCATTTTAAAAATTAGCTGGGCATGGTGGCATATGCCAGTATTCCCAGCTATTCAGGAGATCACTTGAGCCCAGGGGTTCAAGGCTGCAGTGAACTATGATCACGCCACCACACTCCAGCCTGGATAACAAAGCAAGACCTTGTCTCTAAAATATAAAAATTTTAAAAAAGAAATGAAAGTCAACAACCCATAATGAGGACAAACACCAATGATCACCATGCAGAAGGGGAACAGGGGCTTCAGGACAGTGCCCAGCCTGGAGGCAGTGGGTGGCATGAATTCTTTCTTTCTTCTTCCCTAAGTCATTGCAGCACTGTTTACAATAGCAAAGACCTGGAACCAACCCAAATGCCCATCGACCACAGACTGGACAAGGAAAACGTGGCACATATACACCATGGAATATATGCAGCCACAAAAAATGATGAGTTCGTGTCCTTTGTAGGGACATGGATGAATCTGGAAACCATCATTCTCAGCAAATTGACACAAGAACAGAAAATCAAACACTGCATGTTCTCACTCACAGATGGGTGTTGAACAATGAGAACACATGGACACAGGGAGGGGAGCATCACACCCCGGAGTCTGTTGTGGGGGGACCAAGGGAGGGACAGTGGTGGGGTAGAGAGGTCGGGGAGGGATAACGTGGGGAGAAATGCCAGATGTAGGTGACGGGGGGATGGAGGCAGCAAACCACATTGTCATGTGTGTACCTATGCAACAATCCTGCATGATCTGCACATGTACCCCAGAACCTAAAGTACAATTTAAAAAAAAAGAAAAAAAAATTTTTTTACAGGGTTATGGGTCAGATTTTAGGGAAAAATGAAAGAATTCATTAAATTAGAGGTTCTGCAAATAGACAACAGGTGTGCCACAAAATACTGATATTTGTACTGTTTTCAGTAATGACAAAATTGAGTCATTTTAAAACGACTATTCCAAATTTGCAACGGTTGAAATTATGCTTGAGAAATATTTTTGTAAAAGTCTCTCCAGATGTTTCCTGAACTCATGAGTTCTTATTTTGCTGGTAAGCTTGGATGAATAGCAATCTACAGAGAGCCCTCTATAAAAGCTACGATGTAGCACAAGTCTAGGTGTGTAATACAAAATACAGTTTTCCTATGTGCTCCATGATGTACAAAGACAGGTTAAACTCTCATTTGTTTTTTAGAAGGAATGTAATTTATGACTAAGTTTCGTTTACCACACTGTCCTTGCCACCTAGCAGAGAGGTTGGCACCATAAAAAGTTTACTAAAAGCTTGTTAAGTGGGAAAGTTGATTTAAGAGCCCTGGAAAGCTGTTTTAGGGTCTCTAGTGGCCACTTGATCAGCTAGAGGTCCACTTGAGGGCTGGAGATACCTTCAGTCTGCAGGTTATTTTTGATTCTGAAGAGCTAAAAGGAACCAGAGCAGGGCAGAGAAGGAAAGCTGGCTGCTTGCCAGAATCAGGAGATAGAGAAATAAAGGAGCTTCCAAAGCTTTCCTTGAGCAGAGTCAGCCCAGGCTATCCAGAGTGGAAAGAAGGCTGGGACTCTAGAGGGATCTAGCAACCACGTGGTGGACAATAGAGTTGCATGGTACACACACTTAGCTTCCACACATTCACCTAATTCTGCTCTGCAACAGGTAGTGAGAGAGTGGGGGTGGGAGTTGGGGAGAAGGAGTAAAGAGAGGAGAGACTAGAAAGAAAAAGAAGAGAATAAATGAGAAATCGCTACATGTTCTCCATGCACTGAGCACCTCTAAGTGCGAGATATATATTCGTTGTTCCCTTAGCTGTTTGGTACCCACATGCCTCTCACAATATAAATATCTTGCTGATCTAATCTCTTCAAACATTTAATTTTTTGTAGAGTAAAGCATCTAAACATAGGTACTTAATCTAGTGCTAAATTATAGAAACAGAAATCTATTCTAACACTTTGTCAGACATGTAAGAGATGGTGTGTGGATCTCTACCATGACACCTTCCTAATGGATTTTCAAAGGTTTGACTTCACGGGCTGGGCTTTGTATCTAACTTCAGGAGACATTTGGCATTGTTATATTGCTCAGGCACCTGTTCCTGATGAAATGTGAGAATGTAACTTTTACCAGCCAAAGAATAAGTGCCATTAAACAAGATATAAATTAGCCAACTTAATAATATGATAAAAGGTGCGTATATGAAGACACAGTTTGCAATCAAGGGTATTGCTCCAGACATGTCTGATTTAGTCAGAACTTCCAAACTGTGAGTGAGTATTACTTCTCCCTCAGATTAGGCTGATTAGAAGCTTCACCTCTATGTCGTAAACCATCTCCCTTGCACAGTTTTCCAGGCACCCCTTATTGTAGCCCGTAGACTATTTCTCCCTTACCACATACTTGCATGTTCTGGAATTTTTGCTTATGCTGTTCCCTCAGGGTGAGAGTCCTTTCTCCCAGCTTCTAAATTTCCAGAAAGCATATTCTTCTTGCAAGTCTGTGCTCTAACAGCCTCTTCTGTGTCTGCTATTATTTGCCTAGCTGTCTACTTGAAACTCATAATATAGTCAATATATTACTCTATAAGATAACAGATATGGAAAGGGCTTAGAACTATGGATAAAGTGCCCTGCAACTGTTAAACACATTTCATCACTTTTTTCTACTTTGTACTATAATTATTAATCTTCCTTCTTATACTAGTTTCTTATTGCTGCAGTAACAAATGACCATAAGCTTAGTTATTTAAAACAACACCAATATATCGTCTTATAGTTCTGGTGGTCAGAAGTCTGGAATGGACTTCAGTAGAATAAAATCAAGGAGTGAGGTTGCATTCCTTCTGGAGGCTCTAGGGAAGAATTGTCTCCTTGCCTTCTCCAGCTTTTAGAGGTTACTTGTATTTCTTGGCTCATGATCCCTCCTCCATCTTCAGAGTCAGCAGCAAAGCATTTTCAGATCTCTATGACCTCTGCGCCCGTCATCTCAGCTCAAACTCTGACTCTCCTCTTCCTTTTTCACTTACAAAAACCCTTAAAATTTTTGGAGGCCCACTCAGATAATTTCCTCCTTTCAAGATCCTCAACTCAATCACATCTGCAAGGTTCTTTTTGCCGTGTGGGGAAACAGGTTCGCAGGTATCAGGGATTAGGACATGGACATCTTGGTGGTAAAGGGATCATTCTGCCTAACACATTTCCCTATTGAGCTTTTTCCAGCTTTATTAAAAATGATTGACAAATAGAAATTGCATATATTTAGGCACACGACACAATGTTTTGATGTATGTATATATTGTAAACTAATGAGCTAATTAATATATCCATCATCTCATATAGTTTTGGGGTTTTTTGGTGTGGTAAGAAAACTTGAGATCTACTCTGTTTGCAAATGTCAAGCATACAACACATTATTAAATATAATTGCTATGCTGTACGTTCTATCTCAAGTACTTGCTCATCTTAAAGCTGAAAGTTTGTACCCTTTGACCAATATCCCCCCTTTTCCTCACCCCCACCCCAAACCCCTGTTAACTACCATTCTATTCTCTGTTACTATAAATTCAACTTTTTTAGCTTCTACATATATAAATGAGATAATGTGGTATTTGACTATCTGTGTCTGGCTAATTTCACTTAGCATAATATCCTCAAGGCTAAATAATATTCTATTATATATGTATATATATGTACATACATATATATGTAAATATATGCACACCACATTTTCTTTATCCATTCATTTGTTGACAGACACTTAGGCTGTTTTCATATCTTGGCTGTTATGAATAATGCTGCAAAGAACATGGTAGTGCTGATATCTCTTTTGAGACAATTATTTTCTTCCCTTTGAATATGCAGCCAGAAGTAACATTGCTGGATCATATGGTAGTTATATTTTTAATTTTTTGAGGATCCTCCATACTATTTTCTGTAATGGCTGTACCAAT